GTCTCACTGCCCAGGCGGGTCTCGAACCCGCGGGCTCAGGCAATCCACTCACCTCAGCCTCCCAAAGGCACGGGATTACAGGCTGAGCCACCGAGCCCTGGCATGGTCTTTTTAAAATGTTCATCAGATCTTCTCACTGTCCTGCTCAAAATTCTCCAGTAACCTTCCATTCCCACTTAGAATAAGATGTAAACTCCTGCCTCCCTCTCCAAGTTGCTTCTGTATGCCTCTTGCCTTGCTCCTTTCCCATGCTCACTGGCTACCGTGGCCTTTCCATTCCCAGGATATGCCAACCTCTCCTCAAGCCCTTTGGACCTGCTATCTCTACCTGAGACAAAGGCTGACTCGTTCTCACCCGTTGGGTATCAGCTCAAATGTCCCCTCTTCAAAGAGTCCCTCCTGAGTCACCCCGTCTAATGCAGTCCCTTGGCCCCTTACACACGCCATTATTCTATCATAGCAGACTGTTGCTTCCTTCCTAGCAGTTACCACCGTCTGCAGGCATCCTGTTTGTTTACTTGTTGACTGCCTTTCTCTCTCCAAGAATGTCAGCTCCATGAGAGCAGTGTCTGACTTGTGAACGGTTTCTCCAGTGTGGGGCCCTGGGTCATTGTTAAGAACCATGTTTAATGGGTAGGTGGGTGGCAGCCTGTGTTCGCAGCCCCCATCAGTGCTACCTGCATACTTCATGGTGGGGGGGAGGTGTTCAAAACTGTGCATCGAGTAATTGACTTCGAAGTCAGGATTTGATAACATCTTCCCAGATTCCCATAGCGATCTGTTACATCCTGATTGTTCTGAAAACAGTGACTTCCTATGGTTTGTTCACCAATTTGAAACACAGAGTGGTTAATAAGTTACTTAAATACATATTTGGATGATCTCTCAGTTGTCTATTCTTTTTGCAAATGGATGATTCAGTGATTACAAACCATAGTTTCACGACACCCAGGGCCGTGATTTCCAAAGTGTGGCTCTGGACCACATCACCCAAGAACTTGCTAGAAATACAAGTTTTCAAGTAGAGATTTCAAATAGAGTATCCAAATAAGAGGACATAATATTTACCACTTGGGACAGATGGTGACCGTAGTGTTAATAGCACTTTAAAGGCACAGTGTGCTCCAGGAGGAAGTCCTTCACACTCTGAAAAATTAATGCAGGTGGAAACTTAGAGGACTCTTAATAAAACCTCAGAAGCACAGAAGGGGTTTTGGTACATTGGATACTGCCAAAACCTTCACAAATCCTCCACATTTGTGACTCCCAATCATTGTGATCTAACTAGTGCTGAGATTTTTTAAAATGCATTTTAACTCTTAATATTTGTCAGATGAAACTTTTTTCTGACACGACTCTAATTCTCCATTGATGCCAGTTGTTTTTCCACCACTCTAGAATGTCAGTAACACTAGCAAATCTTGGAGGAGGTTATGTTATATCACACCTAAAACTTACTCTTGGCCAAAATCTTAAATCCACAAGATGAATTACAGACTTAAGGGAAAGCCGTTATGTACTTAATGGCACCACAATTTTCCATTACAAATACTGTTTTCACTCTTCCTTAATTTGAAAATTTAAAAAAGTGCCTTGAGGGGGCTTTGAATTTCCAAGCCTTCTAGATCAAAGATTTCTTCAGCTGTCTGAATTATAGGAATGTTGAAAAACAAAAACAAATCCTTTTCCTGCTATGAAATCCTTGCCATGTTTTTGTCTTGATGTAACTCAAAACGGCTGAACTGAGAAATGAGCTTGGTGGGTCCTGTTAAAAACCTAAAAATTCATCAGAAATGAAGTAACTGATAATTCCAAAAGTGCCACTCCAATTCATCTGACACCAAAATAAATTTTCCTGAATTCTTATTTGACAATCCAGAAAATTGTTAAATAGCACTTGTAAAGGAATAGATTATGGCTAAAAATACCAAAATGTTTTAAATTGTTTACTAAAGTGATTAAAGACTAAATGATACTAATGGGCTTGATGGTATTGTCCAGTGTAAATTTTCCTCTGATTCTACACCTGTCCACAGCTATAAGCACGTCCTTTTGGTAACATGATCAGGTAAAATAGTGAGCTATTTATTGCAAAAGTGTTTGTAGAAAACATTGGGCTATAAAAAGTAATAGTTCTTCTTTTCATAGTCATCAGTTTGCTGATGTTTTTGGTGTGAGGCCTGATCCTTGGAGTACAAGTAATAAACTGCTCTTAGCAGGGCTATGTCCTAAGCTAGTTTAATAGATAGCATGACCATGGGCCTTCTGTGCACTAGTGGGCTCCAAATTTCAGCACTTCCTGTCTGAACCGCTGTTTGCTTTTTCACTAGAGCAATGTCATTTATGCTAATGCTAATTAAAAGATTAGGTGGCACATGCGGTGTAGAGTGTGTGTCCTTATGTGCTGGGGGTGGCAGTGGCTATGTGCTCGCTGACTTTGGAGATGCAAGCACTTTTGCACGTGTAAGAGGTCATTTGTTTCCAATTTTCCTCCATATTACCTTTACTTAAATTTCTTTTAAAAATTAAGCTTTTTTGTTTCTAATTATAGAAACAGGTCAGTGTGGTGGGTACACTTAAAGCCCAGTCCAAAAACTATTTGTACCCCCTACAGCTATAGAAATAAAGAACAAGAAAAAAGAAATGCACCCTAGAGAAAAATTAAAAGGCTGAAAAAAGTAAAAAGTATAAAAAATAAGAGTAAAAAAAATCCCATCTCCTTTATGTGAATTTACATTCTGTTACATTTGCTTTATGAGAATGTATTTACATAATTGAAGATCATGCTGAAGACAGAATTTCTACTTTTTTCTTTAAAACAGTCATTTTCTCATGTTGCTCTAAGTTTGGTAACATCGGCCTTAATAAATGCATGCTATTCTATTATGGGATGTATGCTTTATAGCTGTTTTGAGACATTCAAGTTGCTTTCAGTATTTTGCTAACATAAATATTCTGCAATTCACATCTTTTAGACTTAAAACTTTTTTCAGTATTGCTGTATTAGACTTCAGGTTGCATGTCAGAAGAAATCAGTTCACCCTGGCTTAAGGGAAAAGAAAATGTATTGGCTTACATAGCTAGGGGGAGTTAGCCTCAGGCACAGCTGGGCAAAGGGCTAAACAAAGACTTCAGGAATCTATCTTCTGACTCTGGATAGCTTGCTCCTGTGCAGGTTCATTCTGAGGCCTGCTCCTTTATATCCTTTTTCAGAAAGACAGCTGCTCTTTCCTAGTAACTCCAGCAGAGGTGTGAGGATTGAGGCTCATTGACATGACTGAGGACAAACGCCTAGGCCAGAACCAGTCACTGGGGCAAGGAAAGGGAAGGGAACATTCTGGTTGGCCTACCGAACAACCTTGCTCCCTCTCCCACTTCCCTAACCCTCCCTGCTCTGCATGTGTGGTGCCACCCACCTGCCCTTCACACTCTTGTCCCCTTGCCTCCACACTCTTTCCCTAGTGCCGACCAGCCTGCTGCTCCCTCACTCCATTCAGTTCCCACTCAGGCCTTCCATTTTGCTCTCCATTCTTTCTCCTTGGTCTGTTTTTCTTCACAGACTTATTACTACCTGATGTTCTGTTATATATTCATGATTTGTCACCTTCACAGGAACCACAAGGGGTGACACTGTTTGCAGCTCCAGCCCTCACTCAACAAATATTTATCCAGTGAGCTAATGAGTAAGTTGGCCAGGCCAAGTGTACACCCATCTGTAGGGCCAGCCCACCCTAAAGACAAGGGATGGTTGAGGGAATGGTGTGATTCCCCAAAGAAAAAATAAGAAATTGGGCAGCCATCACCAGAACAAGGGGACCAACCATTGATACCTCTTACAATTTCAAGTTAACTTCTAAAGCAAATCCCAGGAGTGGGAATTCAAAGGATATGATGGTTTGGTTTTCCTGATACGTACTGCTTCCACTTTAGCCCCACTACAAAAATTCCCCCCATAGGAGATGAAATGAACTCTCATAGATGCAGACCACATCATGCTTCTCCCAACTTAAAACTGATAGCTCCCTCTTGGACTGTGAATAAAAGAGCTCACTCTGACGCCCAGACTGGTCCAGTCTCAGTCTTACTTCTCTGACTGTGCCCCCATCAGGTTCCCCTTCAGGTACCAGGCCCTAACATGCTGGCTTTCTTTTCTGCCCTGGAATCCACTCATTCCTACCTAGCATTTTCTCTTCCCTCTTCCTGGAAGGCCCTGCTTGCCTTCCTTCAGGCTTTAGCATGAATGTCGTCTCGCAAGAGGCTCCCTTGGCCATCCTAACAATGCTCCTCTTTCAGCATCTCCAGGAAACGTGGGTGTATTTTCTTCACAACACTCACCACCCTTTTTATTTGTTTGCTTATTTATTCTCTGTCTTTCCCCTAGAATGTAAGACTCATGAAGCCCTTTTCTTTCTGCCAAAACTCAAACTCACATTGGTACCTGGCATATCAAAGACCCTCAATCAATGTTTGCTGGAAAAAAAATGAACAAATTGTTCTCCAAAAGAATTGTAGTAATTTGCAAATCAGCAGTAGGAATACCCATTCATCTCATGGAGGCAATTTTCTTAGAATGCAGCTCAAGATATGGATTCTTTTGGATTCTTGCACTTCCTGACTGGACAGAGATGAGGTTTGCTGTTATGGCCAGGTATGTTACAACAAGGGCCTCTTAGGATTCTACATTCTCATCTAGTTTCAATCTAGTCTGAATCTTAATCTCTGCTATATAAGGGACAAAAAGACTCATTTCTATTGCAGCTGGACTCAAGGGAACTTTCTAAAAATGTTACATTGAGTAAAAACGAGTGAATAAGCAGCGTACGCACTTGGAATGTGGATGGGCATAATTTCTGTGCATTCCCATTCCAAATGATCCAATTGTGTTTGTATTTTGATTTATAAAACTTTCTCTAATCTGTTCATTGTTAACATTAGAGTGCATGTATTTTTGTATTTTTTTAAAAGAACTTGAAATTTAAAAAAAAGTCTTGCAAAAAGAGTTGATCCATACAGAAAGTATTTAATATAGAGAACACAACAGCACCTTCTTCTCAAGTAAAAATCCCTATGACATAGGTTGGATTACAGTAATCAAATTTCCCTTTACCTGAATTTCTGTGAGAATACAAAATAATAAATTCCATGTCCTTATCTGTTTCAGATAAATCTTTGGCATCACCAGTCACATCATAATTAATTGGCAAAAAAAATAGTGTTCTTTTTAAAAAAAAAAAAAAATAGCCAATACAAAATTTTCTAGTTTAAAAATAGCACCACTGGAAGAAGGGGATATGTGTACATTCAATGTTACTAAGCAGGTGATTTACCAAAATTCATGAAAACTAAACACTGAGTGGTTGATTTTTATAACTCTCCTGTGATATGGGTGAGAAAATTAAAAGAAAGTAACAAACAAAGCAAAACAGTAACTTTGAAGAATCAAAAGACACAACTCACTCACATACACACACACCCCTGCCAAGTATGTTCCTTGTCTTCTGCCAGCTGTGTCACCAATCAGGGAGCTCTACTACAAAGGGCGTTTTCACGTCGATCTTGCCACTGTTGACAATGGAGCAGTTGGTGAGCGGGCGGTCGTGCCCATCAGTTGCTTGGAGCTCTATGGAGTGTACCACTGTCTGGTAAGAGAAAAGTTGACATGTGGTTCAGTTCTGATCAGCAACTACAGCAGTCCAAAGGGAAGTCAATGCCATCTCCAAAGTCCATGAGGTAAAGAAGTTTTTTTTATGATTGCAAAGACCGTGCAAACTAATCATGGAAAACTTAGAATATTAAAAATATATATATATCACCGAATAAAATTAATCTACTTCCTTGTTACTCAGATAACATACTGGTGTATTCCTCACTTATTTTTTAATAAGCATTTTATATTCTTAAAAAAGGTAGATATTATTGTAGATATCTAGTGCTAATAAAAGGCATTTCCATTCATACCCACTATAACCTAATGTAACAGTTAACATGGAATTTGAGTCAGTTTTAGCTTCACCCTATAATAGTCTAGGCATAACAAAGTAGACCACAATGCAGATTTAGAAGTGGACCTAGTTCTGAGTTTGCCCATTTTAAAGATGACCCAAGTCATTAATCTACAGGTTGAGTCTAATACTAATGTTACCCCAAGTCTGGCAGTGGTGTAACTCTACTCTGTTAGGCTTCAGAAGCCCAGCACCAAAGGAGGTTAGGACAGCCAAGGACCAAGAAAGTAGGCTTTGAAAGGGTTTTCCAAGCAGAGTGGAGTCAACCTGCTCAGTTTCCAGGCTTTTTTTTGGGATAGAATCAGGAAAACAGGCCGTTGTATAAGAATTGCAGCAAATAAGATTGGTTTATTTACATCTGGATGAGGAATGCAGAATTCACACGGAAACAAAACAAAATGAAATATGGAGGAGAGCAAAGGAGAGAAGGATTGTCCCAGGCTGGGCTGGCCAGCTTTACAGTAGCCAGTTTAGGAGCTGAGAGCACCATTTCAGGCAGCTGCTATGGAGAATGCTGAGAGAGAAAAAGGATAAGGACTTTAAGAGTGTTCCTATGGGTTATGAATTGGATTCCTTTGAAACTCTTTGAGACTTGACAGCATAGATTCGAATTTTCTTTTATAATTTTCGGTTGCTATACTGTGTGTCTTTGAATGTGACTTGGTATCTGGACTAAATCATATGGGTCCTGGGGGTTTTTTGTTGTTTTTTGTTTGTGTTTTTAGTACTTCATTTTTAATTCTGGTAAGAAACACATAACATAAAATTTGCCATCTTATTCATTTTTAAGTGCACAGTTCAGTAGTGTTAAGTATACTCACATGCTGTACAACCAAACTCCAGAATTTTTTCATCTTGCAAAATTGAAGCTCTGTACCCATTAAACATAACTACCTATTTACCACCTGTCCCCAGCCCCTGACAACTACCATTCTACTTTCTGTTTCTATGAATGTAACCAATTTAGATACCTCATATAAGTGAACTGATAAACTGTTGTCGTTTTATGATTGCCTTATTTCACTTAGCATAATGTCATCGATGTTTATTCATGTATGGCACATATCAGAATTTCCTTCCTTTTTAACACTGAATAATATTCCATTGTGTGTATATATGGAATCCTGGTATATATCAGTTCCATTAAAAAGGGCTTTCTGAGCTGAGTATGGTGGCTCATGCCTGTAATTCCCAGCACTCTGGGAGGCAGAGGCGAGAGGACTGCCTGAACCCAGGGGTTCGAAACCAGCTTGGGCAACTTGGTGAAACCTCATCTCTACAATAAATCAGAAAATTAGTCGGACATGGTGGCATGTGCCTATAGTTCCAGCTACTTGGAAGGCTGAGGCCAAAGATTGCCTGATCCCAGTAGATCAAGGCTGTAGTAGTTATAAGGGTGCCACTAGCCAGGCTCGGTGGCTCAGCCTGTAATCCTGCGCCTTTGGGAGGCTGAGGTGAGTGGATTGCCTGAGCCTGCGGGTTCGAGACCCACCTGGGTAGCGAGACCTCATCTCTATAATAAATCAAAAAATCAGCTGGGTGTGGTAGCGCATGCCTGTAATTCCGGCTACTCGGAAGGCTGAGGCGGAAGGATCGCCGGAGCCCAGCAGGTCGAGGCTGCGGTGGCCGGGAGCGGCCACTGCACTCCTGTCTGGGCGACAGAGTGAGACTCCAACTCAAAAAAAAAAAAAAATAAGGGTGCCACTATACTCCAGCCTGGGTGACAGAGTGGGACTCTGATTCAAAAATAAAAGGGGAGGGCAGTTTTCCACTTACAAGTAGTAAAATATATTAAGTCCTTGTCAAGCCCCTATCTGCTGCTTCAGTGCCATCTCATACACAATTTCTTCATCTTTTAAGAGGCCAGTCAGCTATATAACGGGTTTCTAACAAGCATTTTGAGATTAAAATAAATCACTGAAGGTACTCATACAAAATATGAAGCTTTGAAAGAGGAAAAAAATCTATCAATTTACCATCCCGTCAATGACTTTTCCAAATACCACATGTTTGCCATCCAACCAGGTGGGCTTGGTCAAGGTGATAAAGAACTGAGAGCCGTTGGTGTCAGGCCCCGCATTGGCCATGCTGACCCACCCGATGCCATAATGCTTCAGCTTGAAGTTCTCATCTGGAAATGTCTCACCATAAATGCTCACACCTGGGTGAGACAAGACAAGAAAGAGAGTCAACAGATGTCATACAAAAGGCATCTCTTCGAAGGGAAACCTAAGGCTTTAGAGGAATCAATTAACAGAACCCTATAGGCGGTGGGGAAGGGGAAAAGATGTTCAAACATAACAAGAAGTGAAGGAGGGGATAAAATTAGCTCCTTAAGGAGGCAGGGTACCAGGGCCTATGACAAACATAAAAGCCTTAAATATGGCAAAGGTTGGAAGGATACCCTCTGGTCTCAAACCAAGGGCCAAACATCAATCAAGCAGGTCCATGGTCTCAATTTGAAATCAGAAGAAACTGAAGGGCAGGAAGACATCCTAAAGCCAGATGGAAAAGTGGGTGGGCCACCCTGTGGCTCAGTATCTCTATCTCGAGGCTGAAGTTACTTGTTCAGGGTCACTTTTGCCTCAGCACCCAACCAGGGTGCAGCAAGCCCTCAGTACACACTCATAGCTAATACCCATAACAACCCTGTAGAATAGGTATTCTAGGTCCCATTTTCAATGGGACACATTTAAAAAATTGAAAATAGCAGAGGAGAATTTGAACATTTGACTTTCTTACTCTAAAGCTTGTGCTTTTTCTTACCTCAGTACCAAAAGCAATAGCAGCTAGTCTGGAAGTTATTAGGCAAAATGACTTCAGGGCCCATCAGGACACAGTGGGTGATGGCAACTGGGAGTGCTCAGTGATCAACTTTGAAGCAGCAAACCAAAGGGAGGCCATGCGGTCTGGAGTTCTAGCAAAGCAGTAGGCAGAGCAGAAGACCATTTCCCATAGGAGGATCTGCTATACTCCAACGCCTGCCCTTCTGTGGGTCTCATCTGTCCGTTGCCTACCTCAAAATCTTGGTTCAGTTAGAAAGCCCAGAGGCAAACATCAAAGGCAAGCAATTTATAACTGGTTAGTCTGTGACATTTGAGGTGGCCTGGTAGGAGAGCTCTCCTACCGAGGGGTCCAGGCTAAATTGAAACAGCCAAAAAGATCCTCGTGTTAAAATTCTTTGTACACACTGGGCAGAGAAGGTAGTGAGAGAAGAAAACAGTAGAAAAGAGGGCAGAGCAAAGCTCAATCACACTTTCCTGCTAGGCCCTGTGGCAGGAAGGTAGGATGCATGTCCTGAAGGGACAGGTACCAGAGCTGCAGGTTTTTCCAGTGAGATTCACTGGCATTCTCAGCAAACCCCACTGCCTGGAGTCACCTGCACACGTTTCTCAGCTCCATTCTACATCCCCACGTCCTGCAGCATTTTTCAAGAACTAAAAGTAATCTTCACAAAGTGCCTGGCAAATCAAAGCATTTAATGGTAGCTATTTTTGTTACAAATAAACATAAAATTAGAAATAGTGCCTGAAATTGCCTAAGTGCATCTTTAAACACTGGTAACTGATATCCAACAAAACCAGTATTTCCTGAAATAAAAATCTTAAACCTGAAGTAAATTTAAATTCTGGTAGTCACATACACAGTGTGTATGTTCAGGAAAAGAACCCACTTAATCTCTGAGGGAAAATCATCCATGCAGCTGGGTAGCTACAATCCTCAATCAGAGACGGTAAGCCGAGGGAGATTTGAAACCCTATACATTTAATTATTTCCACTTTAGTGAACTCTAACTTTGTTTATACGAATTAGTTTGTAATTTTGACAACTCAGATATTACTTTAATTTTTTTAATTACTGATAAAGCTGACTATAAAATGACAGATAGACTTTTGAAAGAAGGAGGGAAATGCACTGTGATCCTCTCCCTAAAAGCCAGTCTTACCCTCCTGGTGTGATGCCTGGCCTCGCCACTCCCCTCACTTTCCACCCCCGCCCCGCCCAGTGCCCACATTTGCAGCACACCACCATCCCATGGGCACACAGCCTATGTTCTCTACCTTTTCCTTCCTATGGCAGATACTTTTCTGTATTGCTATAGACTAGTCTAACATCTTAATAACTTAATTTACATATCCTGCCAAGTGAAGCTGTCTCCACCCTGCAAAGACAATGAACACCCAAACAATCCTGCTGAAAACAAGGATGCCTCACTCATTCACAACTGCCAAGATTCTGGTAGATGAGGCCCCCAAAACTCTTCCCTTCTTAAAGAATTAGAGTGGTTTTTATGCCTTTGTTCCTTTAATCTGGGATTTCAATATCCTGGGTTAATGTGTTGGCTTAATTGTAGGTTTCAGTTTGGTTAGTGGGAAAGGAAAAAGGCCAAGACACGTTACCACCAGTGCCATCTCCAGCGGTGAAGTCACCTCCTTGAATCATGAAGTCCTTGATGACACGATGAAACTGGCTTCCTTTGTATCCATATCCTTTCTAAAGAGATTTATTTCAATTGAATACACAAGTAATACAACCCATACTGAAAGATAAACCCAGTGTTTACTGGGAAATGACAAAATGTGAAAATTAAATAAAATATCTAAGAACTTGATTAGGTTCAGCAATGATTTACTGAGAAAAATTTATCATTAGCTGACTAAAAATAAACAAACTATGAAAGTAAAGCATTAATGTGAATAAGTAAAAAGAGAGTAAACTGTATTTTTACTTGATGATTATTTTCCCCTAGTTTCTAGAACCCTGAGGACACCACATGCACAAATAATAAGATTTTACAGGGAAATAAAGTAAAATATAATAGATGTCACAGGTTCATCTGACATACTAATTTAATACTTATTTTCCCAGAAGGTATCTTTACATTTGGCTTAGAAGAAGATTCAATTTTGTACAAACCTAAAGAAAATAAAACTGAGACATACCTCTCCTGTTGCTAGAGCAACAAAATTTTCCACCGTCTTGGGTACAACTTTTCCAAAAAGCCCAATCACAATTCTGCCAACATCTTTTTCTCCAATCCTCACATCAAAGAAGACCTGTGTGGGGTTGAAAGCAGAGTGAAAGGTTACCATGTGGAAAAGTCACAAATACAAGGTAAGTCAAAGTGAAAATCTGAGAACTTATCCACCTACAAAAACCCTGCCCATAAAATCTTAGTAAAGAAGACTTGCAGGAGCATGGTATTAATTAAAAGTGCTCTGAAATTATTGTGTGGGTGCATTTCACTCATAAATATTCACCTAACAAATATTTATTGAGCACTACCTATGGACCAGGCACAGTACTAGATACTGAGTTTAAAGTTTGATTCAGTACTGTCAGAGTCAGCAAATACACCTTCAAGAATTCTCCCGTCACACCCCAGACAAATGCTGCTGCTGCTTCCCATTTCCCAGCTTTGTGGACAAATATTAGATTGGAAAGTGTTGCTCTCTTAAAAGGTAATGCTCTTTAATCTTGGCAGGAGAAAAAAATTGGTGAGAAGTGAAACAGGTTAACCAGTCAGATTTGTTTTTTGTAATTTCAAACACTGCCAAATTCCCAGTGAGTTCTCAATAGCTGTCTGCTGTCCACGGCACAGCAAAAGATGATGAAAACACATAGCAGTTCTTCAAAAGGCTTGTCACTCATGCCCAGGCACCATCAGGCACCGGGTCCCCTGCTTCGTCCCAAGGACAGCAGACATGATGCTCAGGTCCTGACAGAGCCATTCTCCCTTTAAACTCAGACACTGGATTCAGTCCTCATGTTCCCAACATTACCCAAGTAGAACGCGCTGGCTCTCTATCGCAACATTTTGGAACAGAAAAAGGAAATACATATCCAGGAGTGAGTGAGTGTGAGTCTTTTGTGTGTGTGTGTGTGTGTGTGTGCGCGCGTGCGCGCAGATGAAACCCTGGAAGTTCTCTTGGACTTTTTTTTTTTAACTGTTTCATCTAAAATGAAATTATATACATTTTGCTTCACAAATCACTGTACTAAGATGATTCTGAGACAGAATGTCTGAAAAGGCCACAGAGCCGAAGGGTATTTTCTGACTGAGTTTAGATGACGTGAACCAATTTACTCTTTGAATGGGTTAAAAAAAAAAAAAAAGACACTCACAAGATGGCTTTAAAAAATATAAGAAGGGTTGTCAAAGAAAAAAGATGTCTTACAGTTTAGAAAAATCACTAAGTAAAGACTGTCAAGCTTGAGCTCAAGACAAGAGCTTCTGCCAATACACTGGTATATCTGTCACAGGGTGATGTGATATTTAGTGTTCCATGTGGCATTTTACAAGTTTTACATGGCCAAAGCAGCAAAACTTTTCTTATTATTTATACAGAAGAGTTTTACAGAATGCATAAAAGGCCCCGCCGTCGAGAGGAGGTGGTGCAGGGAGCAGAGAGAGAGTCATTGTGGGAAGGAAGCTGCCTGCACATACATGGGGATCGGGTCAGTGCAGAGCTGGCATCCCAGGGAAGCAGTGTCTCCAAAGGGACTTCTAAGTCACCGCGTAAATCCAGTAACCAGCAAGAATTAAGCAGCACTAGGAAGAGGATCAGGGACATTCTTGGAGAAACATGTATTGCACACCAGGAGAGCCTTTCAGACTTTTAAAATAAGGAAGAGAAAATAAAGCCTGTGAACGTTTAGAGAGCAAAGCGAATAGAATCTGGGACAGCAGCATGAGATGATGAAGAAAAAGCACCTGTCATCCAGCATCACTCTTCAATAAAACTATTCTTTTTACACACAGCCTAGCATAAGTACTAGTAGGATGTTCTTCCAAATTGCTTATCCTTCAGCTTCATGATAAAATACAGCAGCGTTTTCCCAACTCTCATGGAGAGGATAGCATCACATCTTATTTTGTCAATAAGTATTTGTTAAAGATCTATGTAGAAGACTATGAGGAGCAAACACTGCATAAGAGTCCCTGTCCTGAGGCAGCTTAAAGAGATGGGATAAGTTGGTGCATGACCACAGTATGAAGCAGCAGTGACAAATGCCCCAAGGACACTGTGTACCCAGGCCTAGAGGAATGTTAAGGCTGGGAATGGCATCCGGGGAAGGCATGAGGGGAGGCAGGCCTGGAAGGAGGGGTGCAGTTCCCAGAAACGAGGATGGGCACAAGCCCCGCCTGAAGAGTTCATTCTGGAACCAAAGCACAAGGCAGGAAATGTGGTGTGTGTGCAGAGAAGCAGTGCACAACCCTTCTGCCACAACTGGGGGGGTGGAGGGGAAGGGGGTAGAGGTTATGGGAAGCCACCCACTAGTTCCAGAAGGCAGAAGAGAGATGCCAACCAAAGAATAATGAGTTTTGTTAGGCCACAGAGAGAGGGGAAAGAACAGGGCTGAGTAAGGCTTGGGGAATATCACCCAAATGGAGAGAAAGCAAATCTGGAGGCTCTTGCGCCAATTCAAGAATAAGGTCATAGGCTGGGCGTGGTGGCGCATGTTTATAATCCTAGCACTTTGGGAGGCTGAGACGAGAGGATTGCTTGAGCCCAGGAGTTCAAGACCATCCTGGGCAACATAGTGAGATGCTGTCTCTACAAAAAATAATTTTAAAAAATTAGCTGGGCATGGTGATACACCCTGTAGTCCCAGCTACTTGGGAGACTGAGGCAGGAGGATCACTTGAGCCCAGGCATTTGAGACTGTAGTGAGCCATGATGGTGCCACTAACTCCAGCCCTGGTGTGAGAGTGAGACCCTGATTCAAAAAAGAAAGAAAAGGATAAGGTCACAGTGGCCTACTTTACGAGAGTGACTAGGGGAATGGACAGGGAAGAGGGAGAGGTAGTTAAATAAGGGGGAGAAACTAGAGGGAGGAAACAAGTATGAATGAATTAGTAGTAGTGTTTCAGTGTGCGTTATCTGCATTATATAATTAGTTGTCACCACATCCTGAGGAAGGGGCAGAACTATTCTCACTAGTTTACAAATGAGAAACACAGGGATGAGGGAGCTTCAGTAGTTTACCAAAGTTTCCCAAAGCGAGTGTGAGAGTCAGAATTCCAAGGCTGCCTCTAGTGAGACTGTGACTTATCATTATGTGTTTCACTTCCCAGTGCCCAGCTCAATGTCAGCATGAGCAGGTAATCAAGAAATCTTAAGTAGTTCAATGTTATGTGATACTAAATGAGGACCAGGGCGCACACACTCCTGGACAGGAGGTGAGAAGGCTGCCAGGCAAACTCTTTCATGCAATACCCTCTAACCATGAGATCCATCTGTGACCTGGCTGAGTGCCCCTGGGAACCAAGTCCAGTGTGGACAAGGGTAGGTCTATAAAGCTACTACCCTCAAGGACCAACAGAAAACACATCCATGAATATGATTTGTAATGGGAAATCAGGTTTTATAAGGTAAGGATAGATAAAGTTTCAGTAAGGGGTGGCGATTACCCAGAGATCAGGGTGGGCTTCCTGGAAAAAGTGATACTTAGATTCCATGTTGCGTTTTGGTGGTGGGCAGCTCAGTCACTTTGTTTTCACCTCAAGGCTGCCCTTGAAAGTCATTTGAAAAGCATGTGGCAAGAGGGAAGAGGCATTCACACATCCTACCCAAACCCTGCAGAATTAACCCTGCTTCCCTTTTCCAACTAATACCAAGTAAGTATATGAGCTGTGACATCAAGGAAACTGTTCTCAAACCCACCTCTACCACTAAATGGCCATGGGACCTTCAGCAAATGAAATAAACCCTGAGCTCCTTTCCTCATTTGTAAGACAGATGATGATTCCTTGTGTGTTGTCACAATAGGTTAATAAGATGAACACAAATTACACTAACAAGGGACTTCTTAAATCACAGACTGTGCACTAAGCATTTTACCTGCTGCTATGGTTTAGATATTTGACCCTCCAAACATCATGATGGAATTTGATCCCCAGCATTGGGGGGGGGCCTAATGCGAGGCATTTGGAGATCCTTCACGAATAACCTAGTGCTGTTCTTGAGGGGGTGAGCAAGAGTTCTCACTCAATTAGTTCCCGCTTGTTAAAAAGAGCTGGTACCTCCCACTTTGTCTCATGCTTCCTCTCTCACCATACGATCTCTGCACAGGCCAGCTCCCTTTCACTTTCTGCCATGAGTGGAAACAGCCTGAGGCCTTTATAAGATGCCCAATCTTGAACATTCCAGTCAGCAGAACTGAGCTAAATAAATCTTTTCTTTCTAAATTACTCAGCCTCAGTATTACCTTTCTAGCAATACAAATGGACTAAGACACCTGCTTTATCATATCAAATATGCAAAATCCAATCACAAAGGTATTATTTCTGTCTCCATTTTACAGAGGAGGAAACTGAGCCTTGGACATTAGATAACTTGTCCAAGGTCGCCCAGCCATAGCTTCTAGGGCACTACATACTAAGGTGCTTACAAGCTGTCATGTGCAGGCAGCTGGAAGGATGGCGGTGTTATTTCATACATTTTCGGTCCCAACCCTGCCGGGATCTCATGGGATTTGCTGGAAAATTGAGAGCTGCAAATGTAATTCAGTGACTCTGAGACAAATGACCCAGAGCTCCCACCTGAGCGTCTATGGCTGGAACAGGAAACTGCCAGGCTGCCCCGGGAGCAAGATCCTTGAACGAAGTTAGTGCCACTGATGGGCCCTGTAGGGAGACCAGCACCTCACACCTTCTTTAATTACAGATTCGTATTTTTAAATGAAATCGGAGGTAAACAAAAAGACTGCCAGGGAAAACAATACACTTGGGCAATGAGCAATTAATCTACTTTTCTGCACTCCAAAATCATTCTTAGTATCTTCATTTTCCAACAGATGTAGTTGTTTTAAAAAGTTCACTGAAAAAGTAATTCAACAGTATCAAACCTGTGTAAGACTTGCCTACACAGTTAGCTTTTAGAACTTGCATTTGGTGGTGGGGTGAGGGGGAGAGATATGTTAAGCCACAATTCATGAGTAGAGTACATGAAACTCTCGCTCAGTGACAGTGCCCTAGGCTAGGGCTAGGGTGGCCAGCTCTTCCCCTCCTGCATGACCAGCCTCCCGTTTCTGGGCTCCTTCTGTGATTCCCGGTTCAAGCTGCACATCAGAATCACCGGGACGCTTC